ACGGGGCTGGTATGCTGGCGACCGGTGGTGGCCGCTTGGAAGAACTGTTCCTGTCGTCCTCGCATGCGAAAATGTACACCGCCATCAACACCGTCTTGATCGCGCCATGCATCGTGGGCAAGTCGAACATGTTTCGCCGCTCGCATCTCGACTACCTCACTGCGCCGTCTCCGGCAGATCCCCACCGGCGGAACGCGGGCATCGACTACTTCTCAGATAACATCTGTGAAGACCACCTGATCGGAGACCTGCTCTGGAGAAAACAGGTCCGCGGGGAGAAAGAGCAAGGAGAGCGCTGGGGCAAACACGCCCTGGTGTTTGGAGATCTGGCCTTCCAGCCTGTTGCCAACATGAGCGTGCAGGCGTATGTGGCTCGCCGAGTGCGGTGGCTACGCGTGCGCAAGTTCACCGTGGTCCTCGCGACGCTGGTTGAGCCAGGCACCGAGTCAATTCTATGCTCTTTCTACGGAGCATGGGGTGTCACGACAGCTCTGGCACAATACCTCGGAGAACAAGGGTATGCCATTGCAGAGGCACTATCCACCTGGACTGCATTCTGGGGCTTCTTCTGCCTGAGCATAGTGACGTGGATTCTCATCGACTGGACCGTGTACATCATGCTGCACAGCGGCAAGACGGTGGAGCTGGACGAAGACACGCCGTCGTTCGCGCGGCCGCCCCAAGGCGTAACGCGCCGGCCCTTCCGGGCGTGGTTCACGGCCTGGCTGGGCCGGGAGATGCTGGCGTTTCCGATCTGGCTGTGGGCAGTGTATGGCGGCGTGACGGTGATCTGGCGGGATCGACAATTCCGCGTAGGATTGGATATGAAAGTGCGGGAGATTGGGGGAGATTTTCTCGCAGTGAAGGGGTCATCGTCTTCACGATCCAGCTCGTCGTCGTCATCTAAAGCCCGACGAGACTAACCCCATACCACTTACTGTATACAATGTTTGTAAACTAGAGAAAGACCAGACCACGACAGACCAAGAGCGCAATGAACTTTTATGTTATGTATGATGCAAGTCTATACTCCAACCCAACCTTGGTAAAGCCATAACATCTCCTCCACCCCCATCATCATCATGATTATATATCGTAAACAGAAATTAATTCGTCGTATCCATCTTCTCCCCCTCCTCCTCCTGCTCACCCTTCTTCTCATCCTTCTCCTTACTAGCAGCCTTCTCCAACGACTCCGCCGCCTTCTCCGAACTCAACAACCACTCAACAACCTGTCTCCCCCTCGTCATCTCCCCAGCATCCTGTTTCTGCTCTCCACCCTCCCCACCAATCTCCACCTCAACCTCCTCATGCCCATTATCATCCTCAGCCCCTCCCTCCTCCTGAGTCTTCCAATCCGCCCGCTCCGCCAAAAACACCGCATCCAGCCCCGCATCATTCTTCACCCCGACATCCGCGCCCGCCTCTACCAGCGCCTTCACACACTCCAGATGCGTGTTCAGTGCCGCCCAGTGCAAAGGCGTGTTTCCTGAGTAGTTCCGGTGGTTGAGGACTTTGGTGATTTCTGGACGGCTGGGGAGGGTGGTTAGGGTGGTGAGGAGGTAGGTGAGGATTTCTATATACATTTGTAAATTAGTATGTGGGTGTGGATGTCGCAGACACAATCAGATCTGAAAGGGGAAGAAGATGTTTACCAAGGTTTCCATTCGCAGCAGGGTAATGCAACAGACTCGACCCACTTCCACCTTCTTCCTGGGGCGCCGTGTCGATTGCGGCGGCGATGATGTGTGCCGGGGAAGTGGAGGTTTGGGTGGCTAGGGTGGTTAGGTCCGTTTGGAGGTCTTGGAGCTCGCCGGCGCGCGCGGAGTAGATTAGGTCGTCGATTGTGTCGGGGGTTAGGGTGACCATTTTGATTTGATTTGGTTGTGTTGGTATGGGTTCGGTTGAGGCTGGGGTATCTTGTGTTGTATGTCTGGTTCTCGTTAGCATTGGGTCCATGTGGGAGTTTGGAGTTGGTGGTGTTGAAGTGGGATGCATGGATGGAGGGGTATTTGATATCAGTTGATATCGTGCAGCTACTCTCCCTGGTTGTATATGGGAGAGACGGCAAACAAATCAGATTGAACGAGTCTCAGCCTGTGAAGGAAGCGCTTGTAGCTGCTCCAATTCTGCATACTGTCTTGTTGCGAGAACAGCGCTGATCTCTTCTTCTCCATCTTCTGCTGCAAAAAAAAGTATTGCCCCTCATCACATGAATTGCCCCTCCATAGTGTTCGAGAAAAGCTCAAAAAAACAAAATGAACTGCTAACGCAGAGAACAAGAAGGAACGGCCAGTCTTACCTTCAGCGATATGCGTGAATCGTCAAGCGTCTATGCTGCTGTCTTTTCGTGGTCGAGACAATACTAATGTCTGCGGAGAACTTTGATGATGCCCGGTCAGGTGACCAGGTGGATCTCACCAATCTTTATCCATCTTTATCCATCTCTTATCGCAAAAACTACAAAGTATACAGTGGAAGCAATACTAGGTTAGCTGCTTGTAAATGCAAATATACTATACATTCCGCTCTATCATGCACCCATAACTACATCAACGCCATGCATCCTCGGTAAGCATACAACAAACAGAAATAGGTATCTCAAGTAGAAAAGCAAAGTAAGAAGTGCGCTCGCTCAATCGAGCAGCACCAGCAGCAGCACCAGCAGCTTCAATCCCTCAACCACGCCCGTCTCTTTTCCTCCTTTTTCTCCCTCCTCTTCTCCTTGAACATCTTCAGCTCCTTCTTAGTTAACTTCTTCGCACTCCGTTCCGCCCGCAGACTCCGCCCATCATGACTATTTGCCGCCGCATCCACATCAAAGAATGCATACATCTGTCGGTGAGACTTATTCTCATCATTGTGGTACTCTGTATTCTGCGACGCCGCCTGCCACCGCCCCGTAAACCGGTTGAACGCGCCCACCGCCTCATATGCCTGTTCCGGGTCCAGCGCCCCTCCCCCCGCAGCGACCTGATTGGGCTGCTCGTACTGCTGCGCATAAGGCGCCGTAGGATCGTAATCACCATGAATAGCGGGATTATATCCACCTACCACAGCAGTGGTCGCAGCAGCAGAGGAGGAGGGACCGGCGGCGGCGTCGGCGTCCTCCGCGACGGTGTTGTCATCCGCCTTAGCTGCCGCGTCCGGTACCCGCGGGTTCTCCCATTGCGAGACACCCGTGAAGCGATTGTAGAAGTAATAGGCTTGGGCGGTGGGGTCCCAGACGGGTTCCCATCCGTCGTCTTTATTATCATTATCCCCTGGGGGTACTTCGTTGGGGAGCGGCGGGGGAACCTCGTCCGGTAACGGGGGTGCGGCTTCTGATTCTGCTGCGGTTGCCTCCTCTGGTTCTTCTCCTGGTTCCTTGTCACTGTCCTGTTCTGTCTCTTCTCTTTCCTTGGCTTCAGAGCCGGGTGTTGTTGTCTCCTCCGCGGTCGGGGTCTTCTCCTCGTGCTGCTGCGATTCTCGGGTCTCCGGGACCTGGGGCGGAGATCCCGCCGCGGATGGGCTCTCGTCGGTCGAAGGATTCGCGGACATCTCTCCTGCGATTAGCTATTTCCTCTCGCTAGCTGAGCGGTGTTTGCGGGTATGGTTTGCAGAAGCGCAGAGGTCAACGGTCCTCTGGGTGCTTGGGGTTCTTTCACTGCTTCATTCGCTGGGTTTATGATGTGAATCCCGAAGGTTGGATTTGCCGGTATGACTAAGCTGAGTTGCTGGAGGTAGCTAGTCTAACCCAAAGAGGTTAGATGTCTCTTTCCAGTCATGTGATGTCAACAGTGTGATTGGATGAGGCGGAGGTAGATTCACTTGGTTATGAATGAAGTAAGTAGTAAGTAGTGATTGAACTGTCTCTATCTATATGTCAAGGTCATGTACCATTTAAAATGTCTTGTTGAGTAGAGCTACTAGGTGGAGCTAGGAGAAGTCAGGTAGGACTAGTAGTGCTCCATGTGCGCTTCACTAGGTCGGACTTCAAGTTACTACTTGTCAATATAGTACCGGGAATTGCCAGCGATGATATATATTTCTAGTCCGCATTATGCCGAGTTCACATTGCTACTACTACCACTACTAGTACTACATCAATAACCTCAAATTAGTAGTACTACTAGCATTCAATAACACTGACTACCTAAAGGACCACTGAATTGGCTTTAATCGAATAGCGGGTGATATACTGTAACAGAATAGCTTGGATTAATAGGACGCAATGTTGTACCACTTCACAGGTATATTCCAGTTAGACCCTCAACATAAAACAGCAACTACCTGCAGTGATATGAACATACAGATCATAAGCCTAGAGTAACGCAATGTAGAAATGGCATTGTTACAATCACTTAGGCAGAAATGTCAAGTACAGGCTACACCTATCATTATCATTATTGGGGTGATACTAGTTGTTGAGCTACATAGACCGCTTCATGATATCTGCTATTGTAAAATATTCACAAACCCGAATAGTAACTGCACTCACTAATTGAAAGTAAATACAATTCTTATCAGATATGCCACAATGAATTTCGAACTAAATATTCTCTATGGAAATGTGTCGTAACGAGACTAATTAACACCTATTCATCACCACTACGATGAAAATATAACTTAACATCCACCAAACTACACCGATTAAAGTCTCCTGTATACCTAAGGCACAGAAATCTATAACCCGAAAACCCCCGACCAGCAAAGCGCTGATCACATCCTATACCGGATGAGAGCAGGGAGGTGGCCGGGTAGGGATCGAATCAAGGGATACACACGGACTAATTATGCGAAAGGCAAGGCTTTCTTCCAAGAACGGGAGCTAGATATCCTTGGAAGATTTAGCTTCACTACAAGGTTAACTTCCTAACAATAGGCTTTGTTAAGGAGAATGAATATGAATGTTGAGTTTAGCCCGGTCAAGGTCGAGATTTCCAAATATCTTGTTGGAATGGGGTTTATTTGGTATATGTGGGGGGCTGGTATCTTGTGCATGCGAGATGCAATGCATGATGGCGTGGCTTTGGGGCGATCTTGCAGGGAACCATGGCACGAGGTTATTACTAGGATGGATGTATGTAGCATGTAAGATCGAAAGGTATGAACGCATGAGAGAATGGTTTAGGGTGAGGCGATGCTGCATTAAGGTACTTTTGGTGCGGTGGAGAGTAGAGCAAGTCGTTCTATAATTATGAATCTGGAGTCGGTTGCCCTGGTAGATTTGATATTTAGGTTCTAGGTAGTACTGCCATATGGGGATGTTTGTATGTTGGTGTTGATGTTGTTGTTTGCTTCAGGGTAGGGCATGGTGGTAGGTCTACATGCTTACTTATATCAGTTCATATTGTACGAACTATGGATTACTGAGAGATGGACTCACATGAAATTCACATAGATACTAATGAAAGAAGTGATTTGAAAGCTGATAACCAATATGCCTAGTATCGATAGTACCAGTGTGATTGATTTACCCTCATATAGTAAACTACCATGAGTAGTGGAGGGCATTATATAGTACTAGTATATATATATATATATATAGCCAGTCAAGTAGGAATACCCTAACAGTGCTACTAGCACTATAGTCAATGTACGTAGTGACCGCTTACTTGTAACTATCTACGGTCTTCAATCAGGCAAAGATTACAGATCTGCTTTTGCAATGAACGGGTGACTATCTATCCACAGTAATGAAGCTAGTGACCTTGTAGATACAACCAGATCATGCTCCAGATGCTCATATTTCATGTTACACAAATACCAAATGCGAGATGCAGCTTCACGTGGAACAAATTGGCGAGCCGGTCCAGGCAGCAAGGCCGCCACGTGCCCCGGGAAAGAGGCATTATCCGAGCTTCCTCCTGCAACTTCCCCAGCAACCTCTCAACCGCAATGATCTTCGCACCGAACAACACACAATACCCCCGAAGGTAGTGCCTCGAACGCCGCATACCTATGTTTCCGATGCCTGTTATCCCGGAATGGCTTCCCGACTATAGTGTAACAATGCTCCTCACCGTAGGATGGATGCCGTCCTCGTCACCTGTTTCAGACCCATCTACTAGCCATACCAGCTTCAAGGGCTTCCTAATAGCTATCAAGGAACTAGGAACCTATAGCTGGTCCTTCCAAGGGACTAGACCCCAGCTGCTCAGATTAAAGAGGAGGCAAGATGCCTAGAAACAAAATTGGAATTCGGAGATTAACAGGGATTCATTGGACACCCCTTGCTGGCTCTGAGTCCTGGGGAGGAAACTTCCGTTGCCACTTGCACTCCGTAGTTGGTGTGGTTTGAGAGAACGATCTTCTGTCAGGAATCCCTTGCAGAGGAGCACATACCATTGCATATGCTCTGTGAGCTTACGAGTGTTCTTGCAGTTACTTGCATACCGCACGAGCTGTGAGGTGGGACAACATTGCACGGGCCCAGTCATAGCATGGTGGCTAGGTGGGCCAAGTAAGATGAAGCAATATGGGAAGAAGCGAGATTGGACACTTCGTGGCGCATGGAAGAGATGAATCTTGGACGAGGGATATCCAGTATGGCTGTGGAATCAACTCCCAGCCATACATACGTGAGGTTGAATCACAGAATAGGCTAGCCGCCCGAGGCGCATACATGAGGATCTGCAGGGAAAGCGAGGAGGAATGAGACCTTGGCTGGCCTGCAATGCACCCCAGTCATGCTATCTCACGGTATGCGGAAACAGCATTGATGCCGGGCATGCACGACTTGGACCAGAGGCCGATCCATGCCAACTGCTTAGGGAGCCCGACGCTGTTGAGCTACGATGACAGCTATTGGGACATAGGAGGTCAGGAACGAGAAGGGATGTCCTTGCATCTCGCATTCCACAAGGGGAAGCAGGTCGAGTGTGTATGTGCGGATGAATGGGTTCCGCAGGCACAACACTCATCCTACAGCGTCTTGGCTAGGAGCTCGAGGCCTCCACCGAAATCTATATAAGGGTGTTCGAAGTCGCCCGGAAATCGATTCTCTTCATCAGCATCAATCACATTCGTTGATAAGCCTTCTTTCTCTCTCTTACAGTCCAGTCTTTCCAGACAAGCGCTCTTTTACAAGCAACTCCGAGTTTCAACTCTCGTTCAATTCCAAACCCACCGTCACAATGAAGTTCTCCATCACTGCTGCTGTTCTTGCTTTCGCTGCCACCGTCGTGGCCATGCCCGGTGGTTCTCCTTCCTCCGTTGATGACAACGGCCCCGGGAACGCCAACGGTGCTGGCAACAAGGGCAACAGCGACGTTCGCTTCCCCGTCCCCGGCGACATGACTGTCAAGCAGGCCGAAGACAAGTGCGGTGACCAGGCTCAGCTGTCCTGCTGCAACAAGGCCACCTACGCTGGTGACAGCACCAACGTTGACAGCGGTCTCCTCGCTGGTACCCTGTCCAACCTCATTGGTACTGGATCTGGCTCCGAGGGTCTTGGTCTCTTCCAGGAGTGCTCCAAGCTCCCTATCCAGAGTAGGTCTTCCGCAAAATTAACATCAATCACCAAAGCTAATGATTGTAGTCCCCATCATCGGGATCGCCGTCCAGGACATCATCAGCAAGCAGTGCCAGCAGAACATTGCTTGCTGCCAGTCGTCTCCCTCTACCACCGTAAGTACCTCCGGATACCATGCACACCGTCACAAACTAACTGGAACAGGACGACGACCTCATCGGCCTTGGTCTTCCCTGCATTGCCCTCGGCTCCCTCGTTTAAGCTGCTTTCGGGCGAGCTTATGCTTGGGCTTGGCTACGCTTCTCAACGGAATCGTTTGTGGTCGGACCTTGGATTTAGTACTTGGCTTTCGGGCCCGAGAAACATCATGGACTGACCGTGTGCGAGAAACTTGGTGGCGTGTGGCACCTCGGAGAAAGACTGTTCTGTTTGTTTGTACTGCATTTCGTGCATTTGCCGGTGCTTTTGGGCGCTGGTCTCGTTGCATAGAAACTTAATTGCATTAGACTCTGTCTATACTATTTCCAGGGCTTCCATCGTAACCATTGTAGAACCTTTTACCACCAACAATAGTAAAACTTGATCTCAATTAAATGTAAATTCCCTAATCCATCCTGACAAAACAGCTGCATTACTTGTTCGTTCCTAAAAGCAGTCCCTTCACAAACGAACTGTAGACATCCTGCGATATCTCATAAACCTATGTCAGCCAAAATGCGAAGCAGAAATCTCCCTTGGATACATAGTATCCAAACCATAGTAACCCGGCCACCACCAGATATCTTCAGGTCACACAAGTCCACCGCTGAGTAATCTAAACGACACCGGGCTTCTCCAGCCATAAATGTGAATCTCATCCCGCCCGCTTGAGTCCTAAACAGCTATGATCAACTCGTGTGATCCCCTTGAATAGGTGATGGGTGGAAGGCTACAGCTATGTCTTTGCTATTAACAACTCACAACTCACTAGTAAGACAGCGACATGATAATCAAATGGGTTATCCCTTGATCTACCTGCCTCTGCTTTTCCCTCTCTCCCTCATGTGCAGAACAGGACGGGGATGGGATTGGGAGGCGGGGAGAGATGGTTGTGTCATGGATGGATGGTTGTTCACTTCAAGACAACCCAATGCTTGATCTCTTTACCTACTACTTGGAGGTGCGGTGGAACGATGTAAATTTTCTTCAATAAAATTATCATTATGCTCTGCATAGGTTAGTTATGTAATGGGTTTGTATGTATGTGTAATGTATGATCCATCCCATCCATCCATCCAATACCACCGATTCAGCGTATCTTACACCATTATCGCCGCTATCATAGATTCCTCCTCGTATCGTATCATCCTGAGAAAAAGACAAAGAAAGAAAGTAAGTAAGAAGAAAGAGAGAAAGTGACCAGGCCGATCTGGCTAGTAGTGATACACAAACCCACTCCCATCGGATCCTCCTACCTCAATTGCTTTTCAGACAGCGTAGATAGTGGCATCCGATGGGATTAAGTCATCGACCCTTCTTCAGAATCAGAAAAGTAAAGACACAAGAAGACAAGAAAAGAGAAGGTCGAGAGAGAAAAATAAAGAAAATACAAAAGAAAAGAAAGTATCCCAATCAAAAGAAACAGTCAACCCAAGTCAAATCAGTCACAATCACCGCATCAAAAACAGACCTTAAAACACCCACGAAACCCTCCGATATGGACCATACACACCAACAAAATACAAGCCTTGAACCGGTACACCTAACTCCGTCGCTACTGAAAAAGAGTCTGGCTGTTGCGGTTAGTATCGTTGCTGTGCTTCTCCTCCGAGTCACCGTCGTGAATACCGGCCCATTTGCACGGCAGGAGAGGGAAGACAGCAGTGCCCATTCGGCGTTGCTTCTTCGTAGGACTTGAGCTGAGGCTTCCCAAGCTGGTTCCTGAAACGGGTGGCGCGGATGATGAGAGCTGGGCTGGGTCGGGGAGGGGTCTGCTGTTGGGTCTGAGGACGGGGGATTTGGGAGGAGGGGTGGGTGGGCGGATGGACGTGGAGGAGACGGATGAGACGTATGAATGGTGTGGTGACTCGTTCGTAGGAGATGCGCAAAGAGGGGATTTGGGAGGAATGGCGAATTTGAGGTTAGATAGTTTGGGCGCGGCGGCGACAGCTGCGGCGGTGGATTGGAGAAGGTTGAAGAGCTCGTTCATCGATTTGCGCTGGCTGAGACGCCAGGTTGAGGTGCGCTTGGTAGGCTTGGTGGTGGCAGTCTCGGAATCGTGCTCTTCCTCTGTCTTTACTTTCTCGTCTGTCACTGCAGCTGCAGCGTGGTTGATGTTTGCATCCTGCTTGTCCTCTTCTTCAACATCCTCGGGAATATCCTCAATGATACGGCTCTTGATCTCTGGCAGTTTGGCTGCTGCGCTAGGAGGCACATCCATGCTAGCAGGACGAGGCTTTTTGTCTGGGCTGCGGGGAATGCGGCGGCTAGACAGCTCAAGATCAATGTCGTCTTTGCTCTTAGGCGACAGATGGGCTTTGGGAGGGAGAAGTTCTTCATTCTGAGGGCCAACCTTCATGTCAATGACACGGGAGGTCTTTTCAGAGTTGGAATCGACGTCAGTGTCATCGTCCGAGAGCGTCCCGGTCTGCTTCGTAGCGGTATCATCTTGGACGCTTTGCGGCTGCTTCTCATCCGGGTCGTCCAGGGTTGAGCACTCCGAGTCCGCAGGATTGACAAGACGGATGGACGGTGTCATCTGTGGGGTCTTGGTGACAGCATCTTGAGGCTGGTCTGGTAGAGCTGATAATTCTGTTGTCTCGTGGTGATGCTTCTCGGGCTCGTAGGCGGGGAAGGGCTCAGTAGGCTGCGCAAGTTCTGAGATACCTGCACATGTCCAAGAGGCATGGTAATCCTGCCGTCGCTGACGGTGGAGCTTTCGTGCCTGCAAGCAGGGTAGGAAAATGGAAGATAGACACTTCATCTTGCGTGGACGCTGCATGAGGGATGAGTTGAGGATTGAGTTTGTCATGATGCTTGTGTTGTCAATTTATAGCGGCGTGAACCGTGGTGATGTTGTTCTCGTCGTCGGGGCGATAGTAACAGTTGCTCCCGGCGATTGATGCGGGGGATTTTATTGAATCTTTGAGATTAAGGACGCGGGGGTCTGCCACTGGCACTGCAGTTCACGGTAGGTTCGTGGATCGTGATGGTTCAGGGCACATCAAGTGAGTTTGGTCGTGCGTGATGCTGATGATCGCACCTAATCTCCCACGGGATAGAGGATGTGAAGTGTAGATTGAACCCAGATTAGACTCTGTCCGCCAGCAAACTTCAGTAGGCACTTCTAGTCAACAAGCAAGTAGTCCATCTCTGCAAGGAGTGACCAAAGGGAAGATTAGGACGCAAGGACGGCAATCCAGATCTTCCTTCCTCTTGCACTCTGGAAGCCTCTGTGAGCATCCTCTGTTCGGCAACGGTCTGCAAACTCTGGTATAGAAGCTCGTATTGCTACAGTCTATTTCCATGCAAGCCATATGCGGATCCCAATATTTGAAGCCTCAGTGGCGGTAAGGACCAGTATTGGCAAAGTCAGGTTGCAGTGGGAGATGCATCCATTGTGACGCTAGCATATCCAGTGGGAGTCATTATGACCATGTATAACCGCCACGAGAGTATTCTCGTTTGGACCAAGAAATGATCTGGTCATCGTGCAGCTCCGCATGTGTTCTTTCCCCAGAAGTACTTGTGTTTCCCTCGTTCATCCCTTGGTGGTGGAAATCTCCGCAAGGGATGGCTATTTATGCATTTGACGGGTCGCTACAGTCGTTGCCTTTACACAATCACTTCTATTCCTTGCTTAGTCTGTAATTAAATCACAAGTGGACGCTCCAATCAGGTTACCGGGTATCGACTCCATCCACATCCTCTACAGCTTGCTGGGGATGGTTGCCGTGTGCAACGACCTGGAGCGGTCCAGCGCCTCGACGGCTTCCTTCTCAATCCGCTGAAGAAGCTCAGCGCAAGTCGGAATATCGTGGATCAGACCAATGACTTGACCGGCAGTCCAGACCTGTTTTCGTTAGCAAGTAGCCAGACCAATCGGAATAGGAGTAATATACTCCATAGTCAATATCGCCATTCAAGAAAACCTCTCTGCCGCGTTTGCCACTGACGAAGGGCGCAATGTCGCTGAACTCGCCCGACTTACTTTCCTTCTCCACCTTCAGAGCCTCCTTGGCCACCTTGTTGCCATACAAGCGGGTGGTGTTCTTCCACCGTCTCATGACCAAAGCCGTCTGCGTCTCATCTGATTTAACGATTGCCTGCTTGACATTGATGTGAATGGGTGCTTCAATCGTGCACATGAATCGAGTACCCATGTTGATACCCTCGGCTCCAAGAGCCAGAGCAGCAGCCAGCCCCTGACCATCAGCAAATCCTCCAGATGCAATGAACGGAGTCTTCAGCTCCTGACGCGCGCGACTTAGAAGAATGAAGTTGGTGATGTCGGTTTCGCCGACGTGGCCGGCGCATTCGAATCCGTCAATGGACAGGAAGTCGACTCCCAGCTTCACCGCAGACTTGGCATGACGGATGGTCGTGCATTTGTGAAGAATGGTGGTGTTGGCCTTCTTAAGTTTTTCAATCACTGGGCCTGGGTTATTTCCCGCTGTCTCGACAATCTTAATGCCTTCGTCGATCACCACCTGGGCATAGGCGCCGTAGTCTGGGGGAACGAGTGCGGGGAGGAGGGTGATGTTCACGGCGAAGGGCTTCTTGGTCATGGTCTTGCACCTTCGGATCTCTTTGCGAAGGTCTTCTGGGGTCGGTTGAGTAAGGGCCGTGAGCTGAGCAGTTAGCATTCTAAACCCTTTGTTTCCCAGGCTTATCTCATAACTGTACGTACAATACCCAGTCCACCAGCGTTACTAACGGCAGCAGCAAGCTCTGCATAACCCACCCATTGCATACCTCCCTGCACGACCGGGACTGCACATTATCAGCAGGCTGTTAAGACCAATGTATAAGCCCTCCTACCTGAGATGCCCAGGGCTCTTGTCAGAGCAGTGTTGAAAGGCATGGTGTCGGTGCCTTGAATCTAGGGGTCGGGGCGGTAACTTTCTCGGCAGTTGACAAATGGAGGCGAACGAAGAAAACCAAAAGGTTTGAATGAAACAAGCTTAGATGTATGATCTTATGCGTCTCTAATTCTACTTAAAGACGACAGACAGTAGTTGGAGACCAAATATGGGGAAGGCTAGGTAAACCCCCGTAAATAGTAATCAACGGTTGTTTGCCGCGGCCGCTGCTGTGGGGAAGCCAGAGTTGCCGAGGTTCAAGCCAAAGGGTATCTGCGTCTGGACAATCTAGGAAGAGGATGTGCTTAATGGCAGCACAGAAAGAAAGCAGGCGCAAATCACCATCGGTTGAGAAGTTGGTCATCTCCTCAGTGTCCATGTAAAACGTAAGGATAGTTGTACTCCTTTGCAAGGTACCGGTGACTTCTTTGTCGCCTCCATTGCTGACCGGCTACATGCATGTGATCACGGGGAGATTCACAAGTCACACATCAGCTGAGAGGTGAGAGTGTGGCAGGAGACATTCTGTACTTCATCTTAAGATACCTCGCACATTAAGCATAGTTTATGTATAGCTTGATGTAACGATATGGGCCGATCTCCCAGAGTAAATCGGCGCATTGGTAGTACTCTAGAGGTATGAGAGTCTATATCAATACTGCCGCCCGTTATCTTGACGCTCATCAGGCCGACCAATCAGAAGCATGCCACGATCTCCAATTCAATAGCACGTGCCAATAGCCCTATGCCCTACCCGCGAGCCAAGATAGGTCTAGCGCAGAGGATGTTCTGCATGGAAGAGGAAAGTGACGCCGCATTGAAAGCTTCAAGTCGAATGCTGCAGCTTTGCTTTTGCGCGGGGAATTGGCTTGCGTCGCTCATTCCATAGTCCGAAACAACATATTAAATACACAACCATGCCGTCGCCATTCCTTACCCCCGGCTCCCATTCGCGCCTCGATCAGCTCGCCCTCCTTCACCTCCGTCGCGACCAGGCCATTCCTACTGTCCTCCGCCTCCAAGATGACCAAGACGCTGGCTACAAAGAGGGCAAGGTAGAGACCACGCGATTCGGCTCCTTCCCCCACACCACCCTCGTTGACCAACCATGGGGAGCGCAAATCGGCGCCTCCAAAGTCGACACTGGATCGCGACGAGGCCGCGGACCCCAGAAGAAGAACCAGAAGCTCAAGCGGAAAGCGGACGAGATAGACTCGGCCACTCCGGTCGAGGGCGATAACACATCGTCCCCCAAGGCTGCCGTCGCTGCATCCAGCGGTTTCCTCCACCTGGTCTATCCCACTCCCGAACTATGGACGACATCTCTTCCCCATCGCACGCAGGTCGTCTACACCCCGGACTACAGCTACATCCTCCACCGTCTGCGCGCTCGCCCCGGAAGCACCGTCATCGAAGCAGGAGCAGGTAGTGGATCTTTCACGCACGCGGCTGTCCGAGCGGCCTTTAACGGATACCCCACCGACGACTCGTCCGCGACGAAGAAGAGAAGACTCGGCAAGGTCTGCAGTTTCGAGTACCACGAGCAACGCGCAGAGAAAGTGCGCCAGGAGCTACACGAACACGGTTTGGATGGACTAGTCGAAGTGACGCATCGCGATGTCTACAAGGACGGTTTCCTGCTCGGCGATCCCAAGACCGGCAAGTCTCCTAAGGCCAATGCAATCTTCCTGGACCTGCCTGCTCCCTGGCTTGCTCTGAAGCATCTGGTCCGCCACCCTGCCGACGGTGGAGAATCTCCACTCGACCCCGACTCCCCAGTGTACCTCTGCACATTCTCGCCCTGCCTAGAGCAAGTCCAACGAACCATCAGCACCCTCCGTCAGCTCTCCTGGCTCTCCATATCCATGGTGGAGGTAAACCACCACCGCATCGAAGTGAAGCGGGAAAAGACCGGTCTGGAGTACGAGCGCGTTCGCGGCGCAGTAGTATTCCCGAAGGACGTCGACGAGGCCGTCATCAAGATGCGCCAAGTCGAGGAACATTCCCGGAAATATCGCGAGATGATGCACCAGCTAGACGACGAGGAGAACGGCACGCCTGCGGCCAAGCCCGAGATTAAGAAAGAGCAAGAAGCTAAGACCGAAGAAGAGGAAACCCCCGCCCAACAACCCACCTCGACTATTCCACCTTACAAGCAAGGCCGCCTGGTTCACCGCTCCGAGCAGGACCTGAAAACGCACACATCCTACCTTGTATTCGCTGTTCTTCCACGTGACTGGACCGAGGAAGACGAGCAGAAATGCCGCGAGAAATGGCCTTCGCATCAAGTTGACTTGACTCAACCGGAGAAGCCTAAGGGGAGAAAACAGCTCAAGAGGGAGCGGAAGGAGCGGGAAGAGGAGGAGCAGAAGAAGCAACAGCAACAGCAACAACAGCAAGGGGAATCGACAGCACCGGTAGCACAAGAGCAATCAGCTGCCCCTGTGCAGGCTGAGTAGAGCTATCTACGTTGTTGTAATTTGAGTTAGACTAGACAAAAGTATTACTTAGCGTGTTCAGGATAAATACTACATCACTTTGTACACTACTTCTTGCCTTCCCTTCTCTACTAAGTGCATAAAATAGAAATATAAGAAGTTGGACGGTCCAATAGTACCGGGGGGTGCTCAAATTTCCCGTATCGATAGGAATCCGAAACATGGCAGCAAATAACTAGGAGTTGGTCGGCCAATAGGTCAACATATACGAAGTATCCAAGATAGAAGGGGTATGCGTCGATTGATTTTCTTTTCACTGGCAGTAACTGTCAAGTAGGCAGAAATGGTGGGTAGGTAGGTAGGTAGGTATAAGTCTATATATGTACAAAAATAGTATGTGCGCAAGAAGATCGAAGATATGACGAATGCACGTGCAAAAGCATAGATGATGATCTCAGAAGCAGAAAGGGTTGGGGAGTAAATAAAGCCACGCCAAGGATGCAAGCATGGGTCAGAAGGTCGCGAATATGAAGGATTTGAATAGAATGGCGAGGCAGGATGGCGTAGCAAAACGACGTGGCATAAATAGTCAATCGAGAAAGGAGTTGAAGGAAGAGAGTAGGAATGGATCATGGAAGCCTCTAAAGGTTGTTTTCCTTCTTGAACTTGTCCCATGCATCGTTTAGAGCGCCGAATACGGCACCGGCGATCATGCGTTGCTCGGTGGTGGCGGTTGTGGGGATCTGGTTGATGATGGGTTAGACAGTCAAGCCACTTATATTTCTTGGTGATGGAGGGCAATAATGCATACCTTGTCCGGGTGTACCTTGGATATTCCCTTCATGTACTGAATCTTCACCTTGTTGGG